GATTATACTCTATATTAATGCCTGTCAGTTGAGTCCTGAGGGAGGCAATAAATATGAAAAAAAGAAAACACGGTTAATGTCGTTTTCACCCTTTCACTTAAAAGTTCTTGTGTCCAGGCTTGTGTCCAGGGCTCAGCTGCATTGCATATGTTCCATTGATCCATAGATCATTGGCTATCAAGGACTCAGACAAAGTTGGTGAAGGTAAATGAAGGTTGATGCAAGGAACATGAGAATGTCTCTAAAACAAACATATAGCTTTCTAGAAGTAAAGCTACAACACTCTGACACTTTGATACTAGAAATCTTGCTTGTAAGGTTGAAATATCTTATTGTCATAATTATTGTCTTTCAGGTCAATAAATACTCACCACCAATATTTTGACCATTGGATTCATGGGCTTTTCATGATCAGAGTTGATCCGAATCAATTCAGCCCAGACTGGTAATCTGAATTTTATCTGGTCCAACTTTTGTAGTCCTTCCTCTGCAAATTCAGTTAAACACATTTCCATAAATCCAGTCATTATAAATATTACTTCATTGTGATAGAAAAGATTAAGGAGCATGGATGACATCGGCGGTTTCAGGATTAATAACTAATACATAAAATGCACAAACTTGGTCTTTCATCCTACCAGGCAAAATAGTAACACTGTGTGTGAGATACACACTGTACAGGTTCCCTGGGTGTCATCAGAGCACAGTTAAATGTCTCGAAAACGCAGACCTCAGACCCAAAAAACTCAGACACCCTGGGTGTCTTACAACCTCAGACCCAAATAACTTAGACCATCTGGGTGTCTCAAAACCTCAGACCCGAAAAACTCTGTTTGACTATTAAAGGTTTGTTCTGCTCAAAATTGAATTTGGGAGAATTAATCGAATCGTAAGTATCCATAGTACATTGTAGGTTACATGTACAATGTATATCTGTTTGGAACTATCAATTCTGCAATGTTACTCTATATTTGTATTGCAAAATTCTCATGCAACCCACCTCACGCTAACTAAACGTGGCTTGAATGGCTTCAAAATACATTAATTTGATAAAATTGGTTTATACTTGGAAGGCAACCAAAAAATGATACAAATGTTGGGTATTATTTTCGTGATCAAAGCAGAGGAATCTACCTCCGCAGCTGATTTTTCTTTTTCTTTTTCTCTCTCTTCCCTCGGATTCTGCCTGCAGTATATGTATGACATTGTAAACAAGTCATTTTGAAACAATCTGTGGCAAACACGGGCCTGAGTTTTGAAGACATCCAGAGGGTCTGATATTTTAGGGGTTGAGGTCTGAGTTTTTGAGACACCTATCTGGAGCACCCATTTTAGAAAAAATTGCATCTATTCAAACGGCTCAACTTTAAAATAACTATCACTCCCTTCAACTAGAAAGAATGCTTCTAAGGTTTAAATATCTTAAATGTTATTGGAAATAAAAACAATAGTTGTCTAACTTTCAGTTCAATAAATATTTTATCACCAGTACTGTGATTGTTGCATTCATACATGTATGTGGTGAAAACAATTTCAACCCTTGAAATGGTTGGTCAGGAGTTGTTGATTTAACATACACTTGCTAAGACTGGAAATCTACATATCGATGTATGTACATGTACATGTATGGGCAATTCCACATGAGTGGTGTCAGAATCCAGATTTTTAAAAAGAGATTGCATATGAATNATAACTTAGACCATCTGGGTGTCTCAAAACCTCAGACCCGAAAAACTCTGTTTGACTATTAAAGGTTTGTTCTGCTCAAAATTGAATTTGGGAGAATTAATCGAATCGTAAGTATCCATAATACATTGTAGGTTACATGTACAATGTATATCTGTTTGGAACTATCAATTCTGCAATGTTACTCTATAATTGTATTGCAAAATTCTCATGCAACACACCTCACGCTAACTAAACGTGGCTTGAATGGCTTCAAAATACATCAATTTGATAAATTTGGTTTATACTTGTAAGGCAACCAAAAAATGATACAAATGTTGGGTATTATTTTCATGAACAAAGCAGAGGAATCTACCTCCACAGCTGATTTTTCTTTTTCCCTCTCTTCCCTCAGATTCTGCCTGCAGTATATGTATGACATTGTAAACAAGTCATTTTGAAACAATCTGTGGCAAACATGTGCCTGAGTTTTCAAGACATCCAGAGGGTCTGATCTTTTAGGGGTTGAGGTCTGAGTTTTTGAGACACCCATCTGGAGCACCCATTTTAGAAAAAAATTGCATCTATTCAAACGGTTCAACTTTAAAATAACTATCACTCCCTTCAACTAGACAGAATGCTTCTAAGGTTTAAATATCTTAAATGTTATTGGAAATAAAAACAATAGTTGTCTAACTTTCAGTTCAATAAATATTTTATCACCAGTACTGTGATTGTTGCATTCATACATGTATGTGGTGAAAACAATTTCAACCCTTGAAATGGTTGGTCAGGAGTTGTTGATTTAACATACACTTGCTAAGACTGGAAATCTACATATCGATGTATGTACATGTACATGTATGGGCAATTCCACATGAGTGGTGTCAGAATCCAGATTTTTAAAAAGAGATTGCATATGAAT